GTGTCCAACTCCACTGACAGCTGAGGGAGAGGTTTCCCCCAGCTGCTCCAGCAAGCAGCACCAGCTTTGCCTCACAGCCTGCCCACTGCACCTCAGTGTGAATCCCAAAATCCTACATCCTGTTTCCCTGAAACAGTGGCTAGATGCTACACACAGACATTAGTGTACCAGCCAGAGAAACACCACTGACCCAAAGGGAGATGAGGTCAGATTTGCCAAGTACCCACAGCTATTTCAGGCAGGACTTTGGAGGGAAGACACAGGATAAATATGTCCAAGGGCTCTGTGGGACTCCCAGACATGCTTCCTGGCACGAACAGAGATGTTTTGAACTGATCCCTAAAGCACTGCTGTCTTCTCAGAAGAAAATCTAATTCTCACACAAAGGAACTGTGAAGACTCAAAGCAGAAGCAGTGCAATAATTCCCCAGAAACAAACCAGAGGGTATTTGGTAAATGATCAGATTACCTTACGGAGTGCTGTGCCAAGAGCAAGATGGCTCTTCATAGAATCATAAAACAGTTTGTGTTGGAAGGGTCCTTAAAGTTCATCTAGTCCAACCCCTCTGCAATGATCAGGGACATCTTCAACTAGATCAGGTTGCTCAGAGTCCCATCCAACCTGGCCTTGAAGTCTTCCAGGGGTGGGACATCCACAGCTTCTCTGGGCAACCTGTGCCAGTGTTTTGCTACCCTCATCTTAAAAAATTTCTTCCTTATATCTAGTCTAAATTGACCTCCTTTCAGTTTAAAACTACCAATTGTGTTACTGCAACAAGCTCTGCTAAAAAGTTTGCCCCCATCTTCCTTACAGGCTACCTTCAGGTAGAGACAGGCTGCAATGAGGTCTCCATGGAGCCTTCTCCAGGCTGAACAATCCCAACTCTCTCAGCTTGACTTCCTAGGAGAGGTTATGGTACTTTCAAGATGATTCATCATTCATAGGTCAAAAGTACTGAGATATTAAGTTTTGCAGTGAGAATTAAGCTGGAAACACACAAAACCAGCTGTACCTGGTGCTGGTATTACAGTTTCTAGATGTGTCTGATCAAGCTTCAGTTTGTCCCCAGAGTCAATCACCTTCACGACTGCTGTGTATTTGTCAATCACTTCCTGTTGTGAAAGGCAGAGGCCAATCAGAAAAAGGAAACAATTCCTCTAAACTTACATTTCCAAGTTAACAAATTTGGCATCATGAGCACAAGGACTTCTGAGCTGTACTAAAGGCCTCCAGCTCCACAAACTGCTGCCTGGCCCCACTCTGAAGTCAAGGCCAGGTTAAAATGGCTCCTCATGAGCATCAATGACTGCTCTAATTGGCCACTAATTTTGTCAGCCCTGTGTGAAGGTTTTATCAACCTATCATTAAGAAATGATCACAGGGTAAATGACATTAAACCAATTCAGAGATTCACTCTCTGCCCAGAATAAGTCCCGATACAGTTAAGGTGACATTTCAGCCCCTAACAGTGTTGACTTAAGGCCAAACAACCTACACAATGAAACAAATCTTCAGAAGTCACCTGACAGGAGAAAAGCCAAACCAATGTCACATGCTCCCATCTTACCTTAACAACTGCCTTCTTCTTGTGGTACTTCTCTCCAAGCTTCTTGGTTACAATTTTTACAATGATTTCCTGGAAGATTTGAAAGGAGAGAAAAAAATGAAATAAAATATACAAAAGAACTCCACAATCTGAAGTAATTGTGTAGTACAGTGCAGGAAGCAACACTAGTAAAGATGTGGCTTTCAAGAATTGGTGTTTGTTCTCAAATTATTGGCTCGAAGTAGTTTTTCTCAAGACTTTTCTTTTGTTGCTTTACAATTACAGTTACACTGCATATCAGATACACTGATACAGATACACTGTATCAGGATATAAGCATATCATAGAATCATAGAATCAACTGGGTTGGAAAAGACCTCAAGGATCATCAATCCAACCCTACTGTGGTCACTAGACCATGGCACTAAGTGCCACATCCAGTCTCAGCTTGAAAACCTCCAGGGATGGTGAATCCACCACCTCCCTAGGCAGCACATTCCAAGGCCTGATCACTCTCTCCCTGAAAAATCTCTTCCTAATATCCAACCTAACCCTCCCCTAGCAGAGCTTGAGTCTGTGCCCTCTTGCCCTGCTGCTGGTTGCCTGGGAGAAGAGACCAACCCCCGCCTGACTCCAACCTCCTGTCAGGTGGTTGGAGGGTGATAAGGTCTCCCCTGAGCCTCCTCTTCTCCAGGCTGAACACCCCCAGCTCCCTCAGCCTCTCCTCATATCACTTGTGCTCCAGTCCCTTCAGCAGCCTCGTTGCTCTTCTCTGGACCTGCTCCAGCCCCTCAATGTCCCTCCTGACCTGAGGGGCCCAGAACTGAACACAAGTGTGACAGTTCACTACAAGTCAAGGGCAGGAAAGGGAAAATAAGTTTAAGTTTAATTTGGAATCTGCTTTTGGATCTTTACACAAATCAAAAGTGGTTTCAGAGATGGAGAATTAGCTCTATGTGTTACAACAACAATCATTTTTAAGACACTCACGGGCTGTAACCAGTAGTCTCTTCGAGATGTTCTTTTCTTCTCCTCTTCAAGCTACAAAACAACAACAAATAATCACCATTGACTTCCTCCTTCCACTGCAGCTTTTCCATGCCTTTGAAAAGCTCCACATCAAGTGGAGAATAAAAAAAAACAAACCCAAAACTCTAAATAAGGGTAAGTCAATGTGTGTTTCCTGCACGGAAATCAATCCGATGACATCCAGGAATCCATAATAAAATGATGGTGATTCTAGATATTTCCTTCCCTTGCAAAATCTGTTTTCCTTGACTTCCAGCATCTCAGTTTGGGGCATAAGAACAGCTGAGTAGCAGAAATCACTTTTTTATGGGGAAATGAAATTATTTTGCTTGGTAAGATGCAAAAGTCTCAATTCCACATAAACTGAAGGTCTGAGGTCATGTCAAAGGGATGGTAAAGTGGACACTGTCATAGGCATGGGGGTACAAACACACAGATCCTGCATGATCATTACCTCCATAATCTCATCCAGTGCAGATTTCTTCTTCTTCTCTTTGGGCTGACCAGAGCTATGAGCTGATTCTTTCCTTTTAACTGTCCCCTCCACCATCTTCAGTGCACTTGGTCCAAGGACACTGCTGGAAGAGTAAGATGGTGTTTTCACAGCAGATCTTACATTCTTTCCTCTCCCAAGATGCATTTGAAGAACCGGCTGAGCGAAAAGGTCTGGTGATTTGCTTAATTTCAGTTGTGCAAGTCACCTTCCAGCCCCTGCACACCTCCTTCTCTAGGACTGATCTCCTTGGGGTGCAAACTCCATGTCCACTGAGGGTTACTGCTGGCAGTCTGGCAGAATGGACACACCTAATGAGCAGTTCAGCACTGTACAAGCAAAGAGTTGGTCAAGGACTTGAGTTCAATGGAGAAGACAAATGCTAATCTGCAAATAAAGTTTCCAAATTTGAAAGGACAAACTTGTGGCTTTAGAGAAGCCACTTGGACAGAGGAACTCTCACACATGGCAGATGTCTAGAACTCCTTCCAGAGATATTGAACCTATCTGGCTATGGGAGAAAACACATGAGCCAGTTTTATAGTAGAGATCTGATCGCAGTAAAAAAAGATGAGGTGTTATCTCATCCAGAGAGATAAAGGCAACATTAATACGGCCTTAGGACCAATTGCCTGCTCTGCCTGCAGTGAGGATGTTGGATATACTACCAAAGGGAAGACATCCAGTGGGAATGAAGAGACAGAAATTGCAGTAGAAGCAACACTGAGAGAAAAACTGTATTTCAGAAGAAGTCTGGATAATCACAGCAGAGTTTGAGAAGAAATAGCACATTAAATCACAAATCAAACAGCAACTACTTAAAATAACTCTTCATAAAGAGTAATAGACAACTAAAACATAACAACTGCAGTGCCTATGCAGGGCTCCCAGTTTGCTCAAGGGCAGTCAGCATCAGGAGCTGTGCCAGCAATGGCAGTGGTCACTCACAGCTTCTTGGCAGCCACAGGGACAAGGAAAGAAACACCTCTCCTCTCACTCCCCTTCTCAGCAAAGCTCCAACTCCACCTCTGTACCCAACTACCTATGTCCCCAAGCTCTCCAAACTCCCTCACCCATTCCCTATGATCTCCTGGTCCCATTTCTGCACCAAAAAACACAACTGCCAGGTTTCTGTAGCTTGTGCTGTGAGCATGGAAGGTGGGAAGCTGGGAAGTCCTCCTGCCCACTGTGCTGGGGAACTGGACATCAGGCTGAATGAACTCTGCTGCTCCTGAGGAACAGCCAGAGCTGCAGAACACACCTGAATGCTGACAGAGGGAAGCAGCTTCCATACATGACTCTGAAGTGATGCCTGTACCACTAGTAACAGATAAACCACTGCCCAGGCACTTTACAAGTGCTTATCCTGACACTGCTTCTACATTACCATTACTAAGTTTACAGATAAGTATCTCAGATGCCATGAAGAAATTAGACTACCTGATATATGACTTCACATTCAGCCAAATTCTAGCAAGGACCTTAAGTATTCCTCAGTGAAACTATTCAAGTGAGTGTCTGCATTAAGTTTCAGACTCATCTTAAGCACAACTTGATGCTTAGGGATAATTTACAAGTTTTCCTCAAAGCCTGAAATCTGTATCTATTATTGCAAAGAACTGCTTTAGTGTCTCATTTTCTGCCTGGCATATATCCCATCAGATACCTTATCTAAGAGCTTAGTGTGATGAGAGAAAAGCTTTCCTTTTACCTGCAGTGCATTTAATTACAATATTGCCTCACACCAAAAGATGTACTGCTCATCCAATAGTTCCACAGACTGTTCTAAGTCACTATTCTTTACATTATTGATCCCTTTTGTCCTGCATTGCTTGTGGTTATGTGATGACAACTAAATTTGAGAGCTTTAGAATGATTTGTTTCAGGTAAATTCAGCGGCTTAAATGATAAGCAGAGGAAGTATTGTCTCCAATTAGACAAGGCAATCAAACCTTTTAGGAATCAAAATTAACAAGGCATGAATATCTATTCATAGGAAGCAGCTGGGACTAGGTGACATTACTTCAAATGCTTTGGCTGGATTTCTTTTCCACCCTTCCACATAGCAGTACCTCCTTGGAGAAACCTGGAACTTCTTACTACTTTATGAGCATCTGCCATGCAGCACAGTGATGCCAAGAAGGCTCCTCACAGCACACATTTAAGTTATACCCATCACCCACTTCAAATACAAAAGCAACCATGAAGTCACCTGGAATCCCCTTCTGAATAACAAGGCAGAGTGAGAGATCACACTCCAAATATTTCAGGACAAGACACATCTTTCTGCCCACACAAGTATCATCATCAGAGAAGTGCTTTGCCACAGGAAGAGTTGCCCTTAAGTTCTTTTCTCACCTGGTTTTAGAAGATGCTGCACATGAAGTACTTGCTCCTTTGTTTAAATTAAATGTAACTAAAAAATAAAAAGACATTACTCTATTTCTATCTTTAAAAATAACTGTAGTGAAGGATGTTAAAACTTTAAAAATCTGCAAATAGAACCGACCACAAATTTGAAAATATTTACTAACCTGTGTTTTGGTTCAGCTTTTAAAATAAATTAAGTTTTGTAAGAAAGAATATTCTACATTTCCACATTTCACTGCTCTTTATAACTCATCTCAAAGCACTTTACTGAAGCACTGAGCCGGCCTCAGTGCTCATCTTGCCCGAATCACAAAATCAGCTTCAGCAGGTTCTAGAAAATGACATCTGTCAAAATCTGCTTACCTTTTTCCTCTTCATTTTCTCTGTTCAGTTCAGTATAGACTGGTTTTTCCTGCCAAGAAAACACAAAGCACGTTTAGAGATTCAAACAGAAAACTGAGCCAAGATATCATTTTTTTGGTGATCACTGATTAGCTCAGTTTTACAGACTACTGCAAGATTATTACAAGTAACTGTAATATCCAACCTGGCTTGATTTGTAAAAGATTAGAAATTGAAAACATTCTCTCATTACAGGCTCCTGTGCAAAATCCTCTAATTAACACTCTGTACAGAGATACTGCCTAAACTTGCTCAATTCCAGCATGAAAGGAAAGTGGCCTTGCTGCAGCAGTTTTCTCTGTCTGAACCAGCATGATCCAACTGGTTTCTGGACAGACTGATAACTCAAAGAAGGGAATTCTGGTATCTTTCCAAATTTTTAGCACTGAAGGCTCAGACCATTTAAATTTCAATTAGTTTTAAATTAAGAAACAGATAATTGTTTACAATGGCATTGAAATGTACCTATCAATACCCAGGATCAAATGGGAGGCTCCAGTTCTAGGAAATAATGTGTGTGGAGGTCATGGAATGATGCCAAAGAAACACATCCCAAATAACCACACCAGCACTGTCAAAACAGAACTTTTCACTATGTGGATTTGATTATGCCACATCCCCCTGGTTATTTACCCCACCTCCCCAGTGTATGAGGTACTTGTTATCTGCATCCCTAAAAGTTGTGAAATACCATAAATGAAGACAGGTCACACTGGTTACTGGATTGTTTACTGTCAAGTGATTTTCAGATCACTAATACTCCCCCTCTCCTCTGCTTTTGTGAGACCTCCCCCAGGGTACTGCACACAGTTCTGGTGTCCCCAACATAAGAAAGACACAGAACTTTGGAACAAGTCCAGAGGGGTTGGTAAGAGGACTGGAGCATCTCCCCTATGAAGACAGGCTGAGGAAGTTGGGGCTGTTCAGCCTGGAGAAGAGAAGGTTGTGTGGAGACCTCAGAGCACCTGCCAGGAGCTGAATAGGCTCCAGGGAAGCTGCAGAGGGACTCTTGGGTAGGAGCTGCAGGGACAGGACGAGGAGCAACGGGGATAAACTGAAAGAGGGAAATTAGATTAGATATTAGGCAAAAGTTTTTGCTGTGAGGGTGGTGAGACACTGGCACAGGTTGCCCAGGGAGGCTGTGGCTGCCCCAACCCAGGCAATGTTTCATTCCAGGTTGGCTGAAGCCTTGAGCAGCCTGCTCTGGTGGGAGGTGTCCCTGCTCAGGGCAGGGGGTTGGGGCTGGATGATCTCTGAGCTCCATTCCAACCCCTTAGCATACTATGAAACTAATCACTTGAAGAGCAGTAATTATTAGCCCTTTAGTACTGAAGGAAGCTGGGTACACAATAACTCCAGGTTAGGAAGCAAAGGAAATAGTTCAAGCATCCCAGCAGCATGATATTCCCCAAAAACTTAACCAAGTGGAGTTGGGAGCTGAAGGGTTACATAAAGTAAAAATTTCCTCACCAGTTCTTTCCCCTCCAAACCTCTTCTAACTTGTTGTTCAATGAATTTAGCAGTTTTTTCTTCATCATCAAGGTCCTGTTTCTTCTTCCTTTCTTGCTCTTGTTGCCTGCGAATGGTCTCTGGGTCCCTGTCAATGTACTGGATGTACCAACCTTTTGGAGTCTCATCAACCTTGCAAAGACCTAAAAGTCAATACAAGATAAAGTAGGATTAAAACTAACAATATCAAGATCATTTTCACAGTCCATATTCACTATTACAATGCAGATACTTTAGCAGAGAAAACCTTCCCCTTACTGGCCTGGTAAAATGGACTTTGAGTTATCTGTGCTATGTGTTTCTGCCCTCCAGCTCACCAGATCTATTGGACATTGGCCAGAGTATGTCGTAGAGTGGATGAAGTGTTTTCCAATACTTTCCTTATTGAAGAAAATGTTTCCTTCCCACTGTTTTAACAAGGAAGAAAACAGAAATCTAACAGGTATAAACAAAACACACAGACTAAAGGAAACATTCCTGTGCTGCCTTATTGCTACTGACTCTGGCTACAGGGACTTTTCAAACACTCCATGACTCATGGATGTATCCTGTAGGACAGGGGCAACCAGAGCCAAAGAAAACTTTCTGTCACACCACAGTGCCGTGTTAATCTCTCTTCCTCCCTCTGAACACAGAGCTGCAGAGCTCCAGCTTTAACCCTTCCACTGGGCCTGGAATGGGAACAACTGCTCACTTCTCGTCACCTCAAATATGGAAGGGTTCTCTAGTCTCAAGGAATGTTCTACCATAGTTTCTAATTAAATAGCAACTGCTGGAAGCTGGTTTAGAATTTAGCAACCCCTCCAATAAATATAAACCAGCAAATGAAACAAGGAAAGGCTCATGACTGATGCCTTTCAGTTTGGGTTCAAACTGAAGGAGGGAAAGTCTAGGTTGGAGGTGAGAAAAAGTTTTTTACTGTGAGGGTGGTGAGACCCTGGCACAGGTTGCCCAGGGAGGCTGTGGCTGCCCCAACCCTGGTAGTGTTCAAGGCCAGGCTGGATGAGCCTTGAGCAACCTGATCTAGTGAGGAGGTGTCCCTGTCCATGGCAGGAGGTTGGGATTAGATGATCTGTAAGATCCATTCCAACCCCTAAATTCTATGATTCTATAATGCATTTATCCCAGATTTCTGACATTTTTCATATGCAAACTCCTAATGGTTAGCACAGAAATACATTGGGAAATCTGTTCATGTACATACAAGATGGGAAGAAAGAAAAAGGGAACAGATCTAACAAATATTTGCTGATCAATTATCAGGAATTCAATTACCCATTAATTTTAAGACTTCCCAACCCTGAGCAACTGCACTCACCTTCTCTCCCCAGCCACTTGGTAAAATCAGTCAGTGTCTCCCACTGTGTGGCATTCATGTGGATGTGCTCTCGATGGCTGATGTATTCATTGTACACAATGTTGTTGTGGACTCTCTTTGTTCCTGAAATATGGAAGCATTGTTATTAAATATGAGTGTGGGACCTAGGACAAATCAACCACAACTTCTTGCACTGAACCAACAAAAGACATTAAAAACAAACAAACAGTAAAATATTTACCAAATCGTCTCCTGAGCAATTCAAGGAAATCATTTCGAAATTCCCTTGGGGGATAAAAAAAGGAAGGATTTTAGCAAAAGTTTAACAATTATCAAGCAATTTTCTATTGTCATTAACAACTAAATATCTGCTGTTTAAATGTAACTATTCAGGATGAAATTCAGACACCTGTTTCCCTTTCTCAGTAGCACACAAAGGAACTCCATGTGGTACATGCACACACCTGGAATCTCCAAGAGGACAACAGCCTCTCAAAGGGATAAATGGAGCAAAGCAATATAAACATTACCCACTAATTGCTGGGTTTTTGTTACCAGGTGTCCTGCCAGGCTGAGTGACACAGAACACAGGGCAGGACAAAAGGCAGAGGGGGTAGATGGGGCAGATGGATCACTCATCTCACTGCTAATTCCAGGGCTGGAGCATAAAGCCTCAGTTCAGACTCATGCTGCAGGCAGCTCCACTCAACCCAGCTGTCATGTAGGGCAGCTGGACAAAGGACTGGGAGAAGCTGTGGGATGTCAGCTACACCTCTGACTCCTTAACTCTGTGTATTGCTGCCTTTAGCTCACGTATCTGTGGCTGTCACTCAGCTGGGGCAAAAAGGTGATGTATTTGTAACACAGAGCAATGTCAAATGGGAGTCAGACCTGAGGTAAAACTGTCAAATTTGACTGAAATCTCTTCCCTAAGCTCGAAAGTGGCACTGCCTAAAATTTCAAACTGCCATTACAAAAAGAGGTGACACTCAAATGTACCACAATAAAGTGTCTTCAGTGGGACTTGATTTGGCCTTAGAGGTGTGGCTGTACAGACCTGACACAGGAATGAAGATCTGGGTAAGAATATACAGGAAACTTACTCGGAGAAGTAATCCATGAATTGCTGAGGATTTTCAGAAGCCAGCAGCAACTGCCTCTGGTGGGACTCAGACATGCAATGACATTTGAAGCCATTCTGTAAAGCAAAAATAAATACTTTGCTTGTCTTTGTCTCGATTTGCAACGCTCACAGTTGAAGAAAGTACGGAAAATAATGTTTTATGTGTGAAATTTCTTGGAGGCTTCACCTAAAACACCTTAGCTCAGCCTCAGACTAGTATGGGGCACTTGTTCCTCTTGACCAGATGAGTCAGAAACAAAACTCATCCCGACGCCAAGAGCCTCCAGACAAGACAGGACATTCCAACAACCCTCTTCATTCCCTGTGGAATGAGACAGGAGTGACACCACTCATGTCCACCAAAGACCCATCCAGGTGCTTCTGTGAGAGCACTGGGAAGGTGAGCAGGCTCCATACCTGCCCAACACCAACACCAAACGTGTGCAAGGAGGGAATGGTGTCCTGGGAGCACTCAGGCTATGGACTGTGATGGTTTGCTCACCTCTGGCACAGGGCTGAGGTCACCAGAGCTCCCCAAAACCCACCCAGACACAGGACATTTGGCCACGTCCTTACAAAAAGATCTGGTTGTAAAGCAGTGAAACTTTTTTGCTTATAGTCACTGGGAAGAGAACAGGATTTGAGCTTCTTGGGTGAACGGGAGAGGGGGTTGGAACCGAATAATCTTTAAGGTCCTTCCAAACCAAACCATTCTGTGTTTCCATGAGATCGAAGCCACCGCAAGGACTCAAGAACCCAAACTGAGCAGCCCTAACCCCCCTGTATCTCCCTTCAAGGCGACTGCGACTCCCTGCACAGCGGTCTGACCCCTCGCGCCCCTCCCGCGGCGGCGGGACGAGCTCACCTCATCGCGGCATTGCTTCTGGCACATCTGGCAGTACCAGCGCAGCTTCTGCAGCCCCTTGGACTTGATGCGGTTGGCGATCGCCTTGGGGCTGAGGAAATCTGACTTCCCCATGGCGCCGACCGACCCCGGCTGCTCCCGCTCCCTATCCCGCTCCCTATCCCGCTCCCGATCCCGATTCCGATCCCGGAGCCGCTCGCGGAGTCGCTCCCGGAGTAGTCGCCCCCTCCCCCTGCCCCGTCCTCCCCCTGGCCGGAAGTGCCGTGACGCCGCGGAAGCACTTCCGGCACTGAAGCATGCGCAGTGCGGCCGCGCTGACCT